ACACCTCCCTTGTTCTCTTATAATGGCAATGGTGCCCACCTGAGAGGTGCTGGAACTGAGTTTTGGTGAGTGCCGGCTGAAAAAAAGCCTTGGGCCTCCTGCTCTGTGCAGCCGTATGGCCAGTCCCCTCCCCATCAAGCAAAGAATATCCACAATATTTGTGGGAAGGGATGGGACTCCGTGAAAAATGGTACCGAATAAAATCTCAGCACACTGACACCGTTGTTTTACACTCTGTGTGTGCTGTGCCAAAGCAGTGGGCGATGCTATTTCAGTGCTGAAAGATAAAATGAGACCTTCAAAATTAATGATCTTGCCTCATTAAAGATCTACCGCGCCAGACTCTTCTAACTAATCTTATTAAGTATACACATGAAAGACACAACAAGCCACACTGGACAGCGGGATAATGGTCCATTGTCAATGGTTATTAGTGGAAAAGGACAACCCCAAAGGCTTTTCCCTCCTCCCACCGAGGAAATGTCTCCCCCTCCCCAACTACTCAGCAGACAGCGAGGCTTCCTCTGCAATGATGTCATTGGCCAGATAATATGTGTTCCTCTGAAACAAGCAGACTTGCAAATGTATTTATTAGTATGTCCATTTCTACCCGCAGTGCTTTAGCCGAGACTAATTTTTTGGCAATATTTTTCCCCTTTAGGAAAAGGCAGACTGAGTGTGGAGGAATTTGGTTTGGTTCACATTGTCTTGTGAAAGTCACATTAATTCACACTTCACCAAAGGTCACTCCTGGGGCATTGTCAGTTTGAGACCTCAAATTCTGATGAGGAGTGGGAGGCAGCTGAGAATGAGGGTTTGGAAAGGGAGGAAAGAGACTATGCAACAGACCTTGCTTGATGAAGATCCCCAGAGCCCCCAAACATGATGGGAACCCCCAGACCTGACAGCCAGTAGAGGATAGGAGAGGTCTCTGGGGTTGATACGTTCTGAGGAAGAGGCATGGCCAATGATCTCACCCAGGGAGAGACAGCACATCAAGAGGAGACATACCTGTCAGGGTTCAGGGACTTGGCTTCCTCCCCCTGGTTGTAGATAAGCAGGACAAAGAGAAAAGAGTCGCTTACCATTTAAACAGTCTTTAATGATCACAGTAAAAGAACAAAGCAGCCATTCTTGGAATGAAGGTGCTCCCAATTAAGGTTCCCACCCACTCCCCCCCTAGTCACTTCCATGTCTTGCAACCTGATCTTGCAATCACTGTGATCTTTGTGTAGCCACCTTATCTGCTCTACATGACCTTGGACTGATAGGCTGGACACTTTCCAGCGAGAGAGAGTCTGTTAGCTCTCTCTCTCTTCCAGTTGTTCTTCACTTTGCGGTTCACCTCCCAGTTTGTCCCAACTTTTGTCTTCAGAACTATGCCCCTCTGCAAACCACTGTTCCAAATCTGTACTGCTGCACGGCTGGTGGGCAGTTTCAGGATCCTGGTCGGGAGCAGGGGGAGGGGGAGGCTCCTACCATTCCTCATCAGAGCTGTACTCCTCAGCCTGGTCTCTGACAATACCTCTCAGAGTCACACAAGTAGCTGGGCCTTCTTTACCTCTGCTTGGCAGTGGGGAAGGGAAACCTGTTGGAACAGCATCATAGCTCCAATGCAGTCTTGGCTTCCTTGGTTGTATGCACACAGCAGTTGATTTCATTTCCTCCCAACCTTTCCCCGTTAATTTCCATGTTATATTTGAACTTTCACATGATGTACAATAAATATCTGGAATTCTGGTGGAGTATAGTAGAAGCTGAGTTCTCATTTCCATGTTGATTGTGTCTGGGAGGCAGGGAGAAAACTGTTTGCAACCCCATAAACATTGAAAATCATGGGAACAGAAGCACTCGGGTGAAGAAATGGGGCAGGGGGAGCAGCAAAGTTGTCCAATAGAGTTTGTTGCTGTGTCACACCACATTTCATTAGAAAATAAAACAGAAGTGCTAGCATTATAATCAGGAAAACTGACAGAATATTTCCCATGTCAGAATGCATGCTTATTGTTGTTTTTCCTCTGTCCTGTAAGACCACCTGCTCTTTGCTAGCTGCTGAATTTGCACCATTCAACTGCTATAATAAAAGGTGACTTCAATACTTACAAGTAAATGACTCTGGTGTGGACAGGTGTGAAGCGGAGCTATTCCACTGCCAAATAAACTCTCAAAAGGCTGTGATCCCACAGTGGGGCGGGCCAGTGGCAGATCTCGGCATCTCAAATTTCAGTGGCACCATGTGTGATGCAAAAGTCTGGTGCCTCTCACCTTCTGTTGGACTTCATAGTTGCAGCGCCTGCTGCTGCACCCCAGAAACTCTGCATCTGGTGCAACTGAACAGGTCACGTTCACCTAGATCTGCCTTTGGGCGAGGGAGAGAAATGTTATTTAGTTTACATTTAAAGGCAGAGCTACCTGATTTTCACATTGGGAAACAATATACAAAGCAAGACACATCCATTCCTCAAAATTCACGCTTCAGTCAATTTTGCAATGAATTTTCCCCAGCCAAGAAATGCATAACAAAATGCATATATGCACAAAAATGCATATATATTAGTGAAAATAGCATATACTATTGCATATACATACATATGTGTGTGTGTGTGTGTGTGTGTGTGTGTGTGTGTATGCTTTGCAAAAATGTATAAATCACTGCCCACGTAAACCAACAAATGTATGGAAAGAGAACCTACCCAAATGACACTGACATAAAAACCTCACACATATACACTATTTTTTTGTTTTTCCAACTTGGTATAAGTTTATCACCGACCCTGTCCCACCCACTCTCTCCCCAGACCTCTGGGTACCATTTTGTCTTACACTGAATGTAACCAAAAGACTTTATAATCTGAGGAACAACAACAACAACAACAAAGGATACTTTGCATCTTCTCTTGTAGTTCATGAAAATCTTTAATAAAAATATTTTCCCCAAAAAAATATTTCAAAAATATATATCAGGCAAAATTGCATGCAGATCTGTATGTGAGATTCTCACTGAACATGGAGGAAGAACTTACTGATGGTAAGAGCAGTTTTACAGTGGAATGGGCTACCTCAGATGGTGGTGGAGTCTCCTTCATTCAAGGTTTTCAAGCAGAGGTTGGAGGGCAGACTGCATTTCATAGTGATTCCTGCATTGCAGGGGGTTGGACTAGGTGATTCTACAATGCAATAATTCTATTAGGAGAAATTTTGACTAAAACGCTGGTGATTATTTTTTTTAATACTACTAATAAAATCACAAACTGATGTGGGAATCTGGGGAACTGAATTTAAGATTGGTAAAATGGGAAAGTGAGATTATTGATAATCTGTTTCTCTGTCTGTTTACCTACACACACATTTTATTTTATTTTTTAAAATTTATTTTTATTAAAGATTTTCTTGGTTTTACAAAAGTACACGACTTGTCTCCTTTTTCAGGTTGTACAGTCTTTCTTACAGATCAGTTACGTTTGTTTTGAGATTTTGGTGTTGAGTACAGTGTAAGGTTGGGGAAGAAGAGGGTAAGGCGGGGAGAGGAGGAGTGGGGTGGGGTGGTGAGGCTTACATTCTTTTGTATAGTGTGTGCTACACACACGTTTTAGACACCTTTCTTAGCATGTCCAAATTTCTCCCTGCTTGTGAGAAAACCAGGTGAGCAGGATCCTTTCTAGACACCCCCAAGAAACTCAGTATGCTCCTGAACTGCTCCCAACAGTTTGGGTCATGCTGATATCAGAGCTCTGACATCAGTTGGGCCATGATGTCAGAGGCTTCAGCACTGCTCTGCGGTGGAAGAAGGATATGAGATTTCCAGGGCCCCTGGGTTGCCCTCCCAAGCACTTTGCAACTTAAGTCTGTATCATGGCTCTGTATTACAGCAGAAGACCTACTCTGTGACATACTCAGCCAAACAGTTAATCAAGCCTTGCACATTCCTTGCAGTTTTTGTTCTGACCACCCTGGCCCTCTTGGCCTTTTTAATAGAGCTGTTAAATGTCAAAACAGGTTTGCCTAACATGCTGGTGTTTTAATTTGCAGCACGGAATAAGTACCTTTTTCAATCTAATGTAAACATTTATTGGATAGTATATTCTTGGCGGTGGGGGTGAGGGGGTTAAAGCAGAGAGAGAAATATTTAGCCAGCCATTAATTTCTGGCCACAAAGGGAGCTTTTGAAGAGCTTGCGTTAATTTCTCCGAATCGAAATTGCACTTTTCAACACTGAGGCTACTGTGATTGCAAATAGCCTCCCCTCTTCCCAGGTGACTGCACTTGACAGCACCGAGCCTCCCCAGGTGAGCTCTGGGGGAAACGGGGCGGCGTTGTTTTTTTGTTTGAAAAAGCTAAGGACGTAAAATGTAAAGTAGTGGAAAGAAAAACACAGAGAGTAGGAAATTGGAACAGTTAACTTGTGAAGGTTAATGAGAGCATGGAAAGAAAATAGCACCTTGACTCGCTAAACTGGAGCATTACTGAAGGAAGCAACCCGTCCTCCTTTTTTCAAGGAAATAAGTAATAGCCTCACACATGGGAAGCTTTCAGTTTGCATTTTTGAATGCCTCTGGGGGGTACAGTATTTCTTGCTTCTTCTTTTTAAAAAAACAAAAACAAAATAACCTTTCAGGGCCAATTTTATTTTGAAACTGCTACAACGACAATTAATCAATCTTGTACTGTTTTAGCATCCACAATTTGGAACTCCCTGCCTATTGATATCAGCTTTCACTGTACTTTTTGGTGCCTGCTAAAAACATATTTGCTTAGGCAAGCCTATCCAAATCAATGTGTATTTTTACTTGTTTTTTAAAGCTTATTGTTGATTCTATTTTTTTTTTAACTGTTTTAAATACAGGCTCATTTAAAAAAAAACCAGTTTCATTGTTTTATTCTTCCTGTGAACCCCTTTGAGGCTTTTTAAAATAAAAATAATAATCAAGTGGTACATAATTTTTGCAAAATAAATAAATAAACATTATTATTATTATTATTTGATTTAAAAAAGTCGAGGAAGTGATGTAGCTCAGTGGCAGATCATCTGTCTTGCATGCAAAAGGTCCCACCTTCCATTCCTGGTGTCTCTAGTAAAGTTGAGAGGATCTCTTGCCTGAAACCCTGGAGAACCACTGCCAATTAGTTTAGACAATACTGAGATAGGTGGACCAGTCATTTGACTCAGTATAAGTCAGCTTCCTACCTAGGTTCCTATTGAAGTTTGCTCTGATTCAGCTTTAAAGAATGGGTTTCATGGTGAAAAGCTTGAGGCAACAAAACAAAACACAAAACCACACGCTTAGATATGGAGTGTTAAAGTGCAGACCTCTGCCTGGAAAGAGCAGGGCAAAAGGTAGGTGTGGATAAGCCCAGAGTCAAAGCACATGGTCCTTCTAGCTCAGTATTGTCTACACTGACTGACAGCAGCTTTCCGGAGGTTGAGATAGGGTACCTGGAGATGCTGAGGACTGAACCTGGGACTGAATCTCACAGCTCCATTCCTGACCCATGTGCTTCTGAGCAGGGATTAGGGATGTTGAGAAAGCACTTTGTCTCTAATTTTGTCCGTTCCATTGTACAACATCTGTGTGTTTGGTTTTTCCTGCCTGTCTGTTTCCTGGCCACTTTTCCAAAAGAACCCTCCCCCCCCCAAAAAAAACACACACACCATGGATTAGGAGATGCATAGCTTGTGGTTCATGAAACAGTGCTTCTGTAAAGCATACTGAGTTGGAGGATGTTAACTTCTAGTGAATTTGTTCCGCGAGACAGGAAAAGTAAAGATCTGTGTGAATGTAAAATAACAGCTTTAATCAAAGGAAGAAACACGAGTGATGCTGTAACCTTTGCAAAACTGGGTAGGTGGGTGGAGGGTGGGACCCTTCTGATGGGCTCGTGCCTAGTGTTTTCTTTGTAGCTGGTTCCAGAGCCTAGACCATCTGTTCCTTGTTGTAGGTTGTTAAGTTGAATGCACTGCCAATACAAATAGCCATGCTCAATGTTTGTTTGCATAAATTGTTTTGAAAGCTTCATGACGAATTTTGAGGATTATGTGAAGGGAGAGAGAGCGGTGTAGAGGATGGAAGGGAATATAAATGCGGGGATGCACGCTGCAAGTCGTACATTTGCTATAGGAAGTATAATAATCAAATCAAACCAGCCACAATTTTATGATTCTGAAGTTAATAATAATAATAATAATAATAATAATAATAATATTTATACATACATACATACCCCACCCATCCGACTGGGCTTTCCCAGCCACTCTGGATGGCTTTCAACAAAATATTAAAAATGCAATAAAGTGTGTTCTTCCTCATGGAGAGCACAGGTTGCGGGCAGGGCTGACAAGACACCTCACTGTTACTAGGCAAATGGTTTGGCCATCCTTTAAGCAGGGGCGGGCTGTTACTGGGGAAATCTAGATGTTGCCATTTGTTGACTGACAGTCCTATTTGTTAAATACAATGCTCGAAGCAAGGAAATTCCTCTTTTCGCTGCTTACTTCGGATCACCCGCCCTTCCTTCCCTAATTTTAGGCTGTTTGCTTGACCTTGCTATGCCTGTCATGGGGTCATCTGCTTTGGGGCAGGGGCCTGGTAGGAATTTTGTCCATTTGGCTGATTAGTGTGTGCCACTTGGTTTTTGCCTACTGCGTAGCAAATCGTCACAACTTGTAAGGTTTGCGGTTAGGCGTTGGTCTTGGAATTGGTTGGTGGAGGGGTATGGATTCGGCTGTGCCTGGCCCTCCAAAATGCTGCTGCTGGTGGAGGGGTATGGATTCGGCTGTGCCTGCCCCTCCAAAATGCTGCTGCTGCTGCTTCAATGGTTTTCCGTTAAAGGAACCCAGGGGCTCCCCATGCTTTTGTCCGAAACCCCCTGGCAAGGGGCTAGGCCCATGCAAGCCCCTGGGAGCATTCTGGGGAGAGGTGAGGCATGGTTCCCAGTCCCGTCTCTCTCCCCAGGTGACTTACCCTTGCTGACTTCGCGGGGGTGCGAATGTCAGAGCTGTCTCCGTGCGGGGTCAGTTAGTGCTACCAGTGCCTAAGCAACCACTCACATTGCTGTAATTTGAATAAAGTTGTGGCCAAAATTATGCCAAAAACCTTAAACAAAAATTAAGTGTCAATTGTGTTTTTCTTTGGGGGGGTGTCTTGGGGACCTCGACGCGCAAAACATCAGACATTAAAAACTTCCCTAAACAGGGCTGCCTTCAGATGTCTTCTAAAAGTCAGATAGTTGTTTATTTCCTTGACACCTGATGGGAGGGTGTTCCACAGGGCGGGCGCCACAACCGAGAAGCCCCTCTGCTTGGTTCCTTCTAGCTTTACTTCTCATAGTGAGGGAACTGCCAAAAGACCCTCAGCACTGGACCTCAGTTTCCGGGCTATGCGATGGGGGTGGAGACGCTCCTTCAGATATACTGGGCCGAGGCTGTTTAGGGCTTTAAAGGTCACCACCAACACTTTGAATTGTGCTCAGAAACGTAAGATGAGCCTGCTAGATCAGATCAATGGTCCATCTAGCCCAGCATCCTGTTCTCACAATGACCAACTAGACGCCCCAGTGGGAAGCCAGCAAACAGGACATAAGGGCAACCAACTCTCCCTGCTTACAGTTCCCAGCAACTACCGGTAGTTTTCAAGGTGCAATGCCTCAGATGCTGGAGGTAATTTGCTGTCACACAACTACTATCTATTGATAGCTTTATCCTCCACGAATCTGTCAAATACCTGTCATCAAGTTGGTAGCCATCATCATATCTTGTTGTAGTGGATTTCATAGTTTAACTATGCAGTATAGTGTGTGTGCGTGCGCGCGCGGGGTGGGGGGGTTACTTCTTCTTGTTTCTCCTGCATTTAGCTTTGTTGGATTCTAGGTTGGTTGGCAATGGTGTTCCTTGGCTGAGGGATGTTCTCCCTAGTGAGATTCACCTGTCTCCCTCATTATTAACTTTCAAGAGTAATGTGAAAATGTTCCTTTTCACCCAGGCATTGGTGGCTGAAGGGTACTTACTGTTCCTGGTAACCCCATGGTCATTGGATGGAATGTTGTTGTTGTTGTTGTTGTTATTTTAATTGCAACTGCTTTTAGATGTTTTAAAATCATAATTGATTTCTCATAACGTTTGAACTGTTTTAGATGTTTTGCTTTGTTTTTGTTTTTAAACTGTGAATGTTTGCTACCCTGGGCTCCTTGGGGGAAGAAGGGCAGGGTAGGGTATAAATTCAATAAATCAATAAATAATGGCGAAAAGTTTTTCCCTATCCACTTTCTCCACACCAAGCATCAGTTTATACTTGTATGTCATATCCCACCCTTTACTTGCTCCCCCAACTTAAAACAGTAAAACAACAACCTCTGAACTGGGAGTGCCTCCAGACTGTCACACTTTCACAGGAGGGATCGAAGCTCATGCCATATATTTAGGTTTGTGCAATTAAACGGAATCTAAACATTCTGTCGTGCTAGTGCAACAAATCCACTTTTAAAAAGAAATGGACTGTTTGCAGGTAAGAAAGTGACAGAGAAGTGCATTGAACAGTGTGGATGAATGAAGAAACACCGCAAGCAGATCAGGATGAATGCACTTTGTTGTATAATTTCTCCAGAAACAAATCAAAATGATTGCTGAATAAAGGCCAGATTGAGGCCTCATCTACACTATACATTTAAAACACTCTCACGCCACTTTGAACAGTCGTGGCTTCTCCCAAAGAATTCTGGGAAGTGGCGTTTGCTAAGGAAGCTGAGAGTTGTTACAGACCTGCAATTCCCAGAATATCCCAAGAAGCGGGATTGTGTATTAAACCACTGCAACTCCAATAATGCCTGGAACATTGGCCATGCTTACTGGGAGCGGAGGAGAGCTGTATCTCTGCGGCATCTGTTGCACCAAAATACCTTGTTTAATCCCCTTTTAAGCAATTTAAGAAATCAGCCATCAGAACATCTAGTGGCAGGGAGCCAGTACAGATTCTTGCATAACTCCTTTGGGGGGGAGGGACATGTGTTCAGCCCTTCACGGGTCTCATTTAACCATTGTCAAGTGAGCTCCTTCAAAACCCTTCATGCTTTTTTCAAAAGGAGGCTTTTCTGGATTGCAAGTGGCCACGCCCTCTTCTCTTCTAGAGCATGCAAAGATACCCTGTCCTAAGGGTTAGAGGGAAAGCTCCATACAATTGCTACTCATCATTGCTTAGCAGTGGTAATTCTCTGGTTTTAAGTGAATTGACCTTACCGCTTTCATCTTCAGGTAATATGGCCTCGCTTATAATTCAGACCAGGAGCTTATGGAGATTTCCTAAGGGGCCCTGAGCTTTGCTTTTACAATGCCAGTTAAAGCATTCGTGCTGATGACAGTTAAATTGTCGAGGGCTCTGTTCTTCATTTACATCACAGACATCGAGGTCCTCCGACGACCTCCCCCAAATGGAAGCCAGATGTCATCCCCGCGTATCGATGGTCCGCTTTGCTTCGTTCCAAACACTTCTTTTGACTCTCAACTCAAACCTTCTGTCTCCCTTGTCACGCTCTGGTGTTTAATGATGTTTTATTGCATTAGTTCACAAAACCCTTGAGTTTTCCAGTTGTCCTAAGGTAATGGACTGGATCTGTACCCATTTGCTAATACAAGGTCTTTTTTAGTAGGTAGCAGATCTATTAAACATAAATCAAAGTTTCCGATAAAAGATGAGATTTCCACTGAGCCTCACAAAAAGGGGGGGGGCGGAGGTAGGCTTGTTGAAAAAATATATATACTGGTTATTGTATCTTGAATAAGCTAGACTTTAAAGCCTACCTTGGGATTTACAGCATCCCTTGCCTAGACATTACATACAAATCCACCATGATGATTTGGCATCATGTTCTTTTTCCTTTCGCTCATAAAACCAGAGTGAACTTGCATTAGGCAGTGGAGCTGCTCATTTCGTTGGATGGTAGAGTATTTTTAAACCCCTACAAGAGGAACACTTAAAAACAAAACAAAAAACCGAATAAGGTCATGGTGAATAAAAATAACCATAACATTTTCAAATGATTTATTAATTAAAAGCTTCTAAGCTCACCTTGCTATCAAAGTACA